GTATTTCATATATTCGTTGTGTTTCATCTTACGGGTTTATGTCGAATTAATTTGATGGCCTGCTCCCAGTTGGCTTGTTAGCTCAATTGGTAGAGCGCTGCACTAGTATCGCAGAGGTCAGTGGTTCGAATCCCGTACAGGCATGAATTTTTTCAGGTCTGATTTTCACTATTGCTTAGATAGTGCTTTACTGCGAGGATCGTGCACATATACGTTTCCTAACCGCAGTTCAGATATATGTAATAATAATAATAATGATAATACACTATATTTCAAGAGTGTAGCACGGAATAGTTACAGAAACTAGTAAACTTGTGGCCCTTTATCCAAAATCAAAATTACAACAACATATTCCGAATTGCAAATTCAAAGTACAAAACAAATAAAACTAAGGAAATATAAGAAGTTCTACATTAATATAAACGAGTGTAAAAGCTAATATGATATGGCTAGAGTATACAGAATAAGATTCAACCATGAAATGGTGTAATTCCTACTGATCTTTTGCAGAAGATATTTCGACAATTATTCTTAAAGGATTCTAGTGATACTGCATTTCTCAGTAAGATATCTAGGCTTAAACTGTTCCAAAGTTCAGGACAAATAGTGACTGCGAACGTCCTACCGCCTTCGGTCAGCCGATTAAATTTTGGGTAAACTAAGTTTATATTACTATATCTAGTTACAGTATTATGTTGCTCATTGTTGAGTCTTACTTAAGTAGTCTTAAATATCTAAGGGAACTGCACCTTTGATGCGTTTGTGTGCCAGACAACACTAAGCTATCTTCACTTTCTCGCAGAATTGCAAGCTTGAAGGTGCTACTGAAATACATGCATAGCCCTCTCTAAATTCCCAGTTACATTCTGGACCAAAAAGATGGTGAACATCTATCTTATTTGCTTTTGTGCACATTGAATTTTTTATCTTTGCAGCCGAAAATTTCTTTTTTTTATAGGGGAATAATAAGCGAACTTAATATCAAACGGAACCAAATGGCCATTTTAATATCACAGTGCCTGGACTTTTCAATTTTATTTATTTATAATATGCATGTTTCTGAATGGGAAGAAAAAGCCAAAAAAAGTTAATTCACTTAAAAGAAACATTGGACAAATGTATGTTTTTTCATCGTGTGTTTGGTGGGCCCAATAGAACTTCACATTTTAGTTCCGTTATATGTGCTACATTAAAAACTTTGATATTTTCGTATAAGAGTCGGAATTACGCAAATTTAGTCAAGCAATTGCCTGTTTTCATAACACTGTCGTCTAACGAGCTGTTTTCATAACACTGTCGTCTAATGAGCAAAAATCCCATGGTGGATAAAAGTACGTGCGGCGACTAAAAACAATTTATGTCTATCATCAAAATGGCAAATTGATTAAAAGCTCGGGAATTTTCCCATTAATTTCTGTTATCATAGGTTTATAGAATTTCTAAAAGTACCACTTTACCGTAGTAGGCGCACTCCAGCTTGGTATTTGACGCGAGCTTCGAAAAGGTAATTATCAAATTGAGGCGAAAGGATTACAACCTTAATCCTAACAAAAAATTGTATATTTGTCTTTGTTGATCAGCCTCTAAGGTTAGTTTTGCTGCGAATGAAAAGGCAAGCTGTGAGTGTGTAAGAAAACGAAACAGGCATTGAAAATCAGGGGAATACAGCGCACCGACACGCCACTACAATATAGGTCTAATTAGGTAATGTGACAAAACAAATTCAAAAACTTCCTTCAAATTATGTAAACAAAAACTCCGTTTTCCCTCTCATTAACTCCTTCAGCTGACAGTTTTGCAAATTTATGTCTTTCCATTAGCGGGATTATTCTGCGATAATGAAAATTATGAGTGCTTTTTAAAGTAAGTAAATGATTGCTATCATGGCCATTATTTGTCGTCGACACATTCATTTGGCTCATTATTGCTGAAGCTTGTTGATATTCAAGTTATCGTAAACACTTAAAGTTGAGTAAAGAATGATTAAAAGACAATTTGTCTCAACTCGGAAAGCTTTGAAGTGCTATAAATTCTTAATAACTTTCGTGAATTCGCTGCAAATGTCGAATTTCAGAGAACGTTGATATATAACCTTTTTTTACAAACGTTTGAGTAATTCTTAATTATAACAGAGAAATGATATGCAGATAAGCCACCATGGATTAAGTTTTTATATATCTCTTTATAGCGGCAGTAGCACAAGTTGTCTTTGTTGGACAATTCTTTGTAACGTTTTTTTCAGCACCTCAGGGGTTATCCATCAGAGGAACGTAGAAATCAATGTCGTTATTTACCAACGCTTCCAGGAATGGAACCAATGAGCGCAATTGAACAATATGAAGAACCAAAAGCTCTATATGATTAAAACCAAATTAAAATTCGTCATTTATATCTTCACGGGTTTAACATTCGAAGCCATTTGTGACGTCAATATCAATAAAACAGTCGAGAGTAAGACTGCGGGAAAGTCTTTACCGGAACGGCTTCTCACTACAGTATCTTTCTTATACTTATCTCTCTCGCAGTGAGGGTGACAACAAGGAGGACAAGAAACACACCAAGTAGAGGAAGACGAGGAAACAATGCAGTCCATCAACGGTACGAACATCACAAACTCAACCGAGCCCTCCTCCGTGGAACAGTATAAAGAACCAGAAGCTCTCTACATTTTCCGTGTGACCCTCTTCGCCGTGATCATCTCGGCCAGTATAATCGGAAACTCCATGGTTTTTTATGCTGTGTGGACCATACCTTCTCGTAAGCCTCTATCCTACCATCTCGTCGCTAACATGGCTTTTGCAGAAATCCTAAGCAGCGTTTGTCTGGCTGTCATGTTTGCGAGCTGGCAGAATCCAACAAAAGCTGTTCTTCAAGAGGCCGCCTGCGTTTTGAACACATTCCAAGTGATTGCTCTTCTCGTTGTGACCTACTCACTGGCTGCCATCGCTTTCTATCGTTACAGATTCATTGTAAACCCACTTCCACGTGGACCATCAGTTAAGAAGATCATAATTCTAACCATAACTGGGCTGTGGCTGTTGTCATTTGCAATCGCCTTTCCCTTTTTCATCGGTCTCAGGTTTAGTAATGGCAGATGCATCGAGCTGCCTATCACAAACAATGAGTACTATGCGATTAGTAGATTCATCTTGAATTACGCTTTACCTTATGTGATAATGCTGGCATCTTACGGAGCAGTGGCCTGGAACTTGAAGAGGCGAATAGTGCAGATAGAGGAGAGAGCCCGAAACTCGACGGTCGCAGTTGAACTCGAGGTTAGGCTAGACAACCAACAGCAAGGTTACACTCCATGCAGGGAGAACGAACCAAAAAACGTCATGGTTGACCAAAAGAACCAAAGGGACATTAAACCCAAAACTACTGATCTGGAGAGAGATTTACTTAAGATGATTTTTGTACTTATTATTATTTTTGTTGTTTGTTATTTTCCGTATCAAGCTCATTATGTGTGGGAAAGGGTTTGTAAGATCAATGCGTATGAATTTCGATATCATCAACTCTTTATGGATTATAATTTTATTTTGACCTGCCTTCCCAGTGCCTTACATCCTTTGTGTTATGGAACAATGAACAGTTTCTTCGCTAAGGCGTTCTCAAAAATTTTTCTCTGTAAATCTGTGCAATCCTAGTTCAAACAAATGGCATATCTTAGTGTATATAGAGCGTGTAAAACACGTGTCTAGCCGGCCTAAGAATCGTAGCTCAAGTTTTTTTATCGTTTTTATTGTGATAGTCAGGATCTGTGTAACCAATCTGAAGATCGAGGTGAGAAAGGTTCTTCTTGTGCATATTTCCATTACGTTTTGATATCTTAGTTGTGTAAAGCAATAGGGCCGTATATAATTATACAGGATTATGTTTGAGTGAAAAAGCTTGATAGGAGAGGATACGCCCCGAATTCAAACTAATCCTTTTAAACTATACAAAGCACGGAATTGAATAGCATTAAAATCCCGGGGAGGGGTGGACTCCCATATGAAACAGACAGGGATGCTCGTCGTCTCGCTTAGGGGTGTAAATTTTGGATTTTGGTCTCGCTTAGGTTGTTCCGGGCAAAGCGCCAATATTTTAAGCCACCAAGGTCTCGTTTAGGGTTCCGCGAAGAAACACAGAATTAAGTGAATTTTCTTTTTAACTTGTTTTGTTTACCGTATTACCGCTGTGATTATAAATCAAAGATTTCTACAAATAGTAGAGAGCATCCGCGACTCCTCGTCAAAGAAATGCTAGATCCTCAGCTGTTGACTTGAAAGATGACGGCAGAAGGGTGGATACTGTCCCTACATCAAGTGCAAGACTTAGTCGAAGGGAATCATTGTTAAAGTTTTAAATTTGAAAAGACATACAGTAGCCAGACAATGTTTTGAATGGCACACCTTAAATTAATAAGCATTATTCGGCAAACAGGTCGTCGCTGTTAAGTGAAAAAAAATTGAGACAAAACATATATTTTACAATTCTTTAGAACATTTAGATGGTTGGCTCTTTCCATAGTTTACAAAGAGTTGTAGTTTAGAAGCATATAAATATGTGTAAATATTATATTTTAGCTTGTCACAACCAGCCTTAGCCTTCAGCATGTGTAGCGTTTGATGACATTGTGAACAGTTACAAGTGCCAAAGACACAATGCATGAACATAATGAAGAATGACAATGCTTAAAAACTACTTTTAGATAGAAGCATTCGATGATTATGTCTTTATATCATTAAAACTCATATTCATGTCGTATTTTGTGTGTTTTTACACGGTCTATTTTTGGGGTCAAAATTTGCTTAAGCCACGCCCAGATTGGTCTCCTTTAGGGGTCACAAAGAGCTTGCGCCACGCCCAGATGGTCTCCATTAGGGGTTAAATTCAAAATTTTCCGACAAGCATTCCCGTCTGTTTCATATGGGAGACCCCACGGGATTAAAATGCCTCCAGTAAAAGTGGTTGACGTCTCCAATTCAAGTTTACCCCATAGGTCCGATATACATTAGCTAAGGTAAAATTTTAACGAGAGATTCTTAATCAGCTTTTAGTATTGTTGATCTGTTCGTTAACGTTTCTCTCCTTGACTAAGAAATTACTACCTAATGAGTTGATATATAACATTTTCCTTTCATTTGTGTCGGCAATATAAATACAAAGTTGATTGATCTTTCATCTTTGCCTTGCAGTAAAACTCGCATAGACAACCTGCACCCTTCATTGAGGTACACAGTTTTAAAGTGGTTTAATGTTCGATAAATACCTGTGAGTGAGTAATTTTCCGCTGTAAAATAAAAGTAAAGTCTTAAAAAATAGACTTATGGAAATGAATGATATTTCTTTTCGTATGACTGGTATCAGTTCTTTTTATTTCGCGATTTTTGCTCCCGGCCAGTAACGTCGATTAACAAATAAAGAATTCAGGCTGATAAATCAGCTTAAAATGCTGCCTTATCATGATAAACATCGACCCTCAAACGCTTAACATGGGATTGTATTGAACACTCGTTAACACAAAAACAGCAAAGCGCTTCGAAAAAATTCCATATTTGATGCCCCTGCGTTGACCAAGTTAGTCCAGAAATCAGAGGGCCGAGCTGACGCCTGGGCCTGAGCGGTACGTTTCCCTTAAATTTCCAAGACCATTGCAGGAAGTGGTTCCTTGCACTAAACTCCCTGAAAAAGTCGCAGGTTTGTTGAAGAGGTGTCTACATAGGAAACTATCTACTGCCCTCACTCAAGAGAATAGAAACCGCGTATATTCTCTTGCCTCACTTAAGATAAAAAAATATCTCAGGTTTTTAGCCCTTTCATCTATGTCGGTCATATAGCGTCGCCGCAACAACAACGAACTAGACAGGGAATAAATTGGCTTGTTTACTCGCGTATCAGATAATCGGAGAGAAATAAACCAAAACGAGTCTGCGCTGTTTCTGCTGATTCTTTTTAGAGTCTACCAGTCTTTTTA